GAGAGGGTAGACAGGCAAGGCGCCCATGCAAGGTGAAACGACCCCAGTGCAGCTAGAAAGTGCTCGTTCGAGACGCACCAAAAATCTTAAGCTGCGTGTGATGTGCAAGAGACTTTCTCACTCGAAACCCGATGCATGAGTCGGAAGTAGCCTGAAGTTTGCAGGACCCCGGGCCAATAGGACCTCGTGCTGTTGGGCCAGTGTCTTTGGACAATCCTGTCAGCATCTCCGTCCGACCATCTGTTGTCTGGGCCTCTGACTGCTGACTGCCTGCGAAACTTCACCCTGCACCATGTTCGTGCCAACAGGCCAACAGAATACATTTTGTGTACCGTGGCAGGTGTTGTATTTTGAATCGAAAGTAAGACTAAGGAAGCGAGAGACTCCGAATTGCGGCAGGCAGCATGGGTGCCGAACTGCAATGTGATCAGTGCGATTTGGAAGAGAACCCAGCTTAGGTTGCAAAGAGTTTGCGTTGCTTAATTGCCAGGCTTTTCTGCCTGAGCCATTTCTAACTTCCCATAGTGCTGGATAACTCTCCTGAATCGTGGTGCTCATGGCGCAAGGAGGCATTCAAGCAGAACCATCACTCTTATACTCCTTAAACTACAGGCCTTGCATGGTGAGCGAGCACCGAGAGGGTAGACAGGCAAGGCGCCCACACAAGGTGAAACGACCCCAGTGCAGCTAGAAAGTGCTCGTTCGGGACGCACCAAAAAATCTTAAGCTGTGTGTGATGTGCAAGAGACTTTCTCACTCGAAACCCGATGCATGAGTCGGAAGTAGCCTGAAGTTTGCAGGACCCCGGGCCAATAGGACCTCGTGCTGTCGGGCCAGCGTCTTTGGACAATCCTGTCAGCATCTCCGTCCGACCATCTGCTGTCTGGGCCTCTGACTGCTGACTGCCTGCGAAACTTCACCCTGCACCATGTTCGTGCCAACAGGCCAACAGAATGCATTTTGTGTACCGTGGCAGGTGTTGTATTTTGAATCGAAAGTAAGACTAAGGAAGCGAGAGACTCCGAATTGCGGCAGGCAGCATGGGTGCCGAACTGCAAAGTGATCAGTGCGATTTGGAAGAGAACCCAGCTTAGGTTGCAAAGAGTTTGCGTTGCTTAATTGCCAGGCTTTTCTGCCTGGGCCATTACTAGCTTCCCATAGTGCTGGATGATTCTTCTGAATCGTGGTGCTCATGGCGCAAGGAGGCATTCAAGCAGAAACATCACTCTTATACTACTCTTTAAACTACAGGCCTTGCATGGTGAACGAGCACCGAGAGGGTAGACAGGCAAGGCGCCCACACAAGGTGAAAGGACCCCAGTGCAGCTAGAAAGTGCTCGTTCGGGACGCACCAAAAATCTTAAGCTGCGTGCGATGTGCAA